AAAGAAAATATGGCTGTTTCCGTAGCTTGTGATTTTCAAAACCTATGTTGACAATCTGAAAACGCGTCTTGTTTACTAAGAAATGTTTCCGTATTTAAAACAGTCTCTCTAATATTTTTGAAAAAACCGACAAAAGAGAAATTGGCCGATAATTTTGAATTTAATTTTTGTTGCCTTTTTTTGAAAAGCGGCTTCATCTTAGCTGTTTTAAAAATATCTGGAAAAATTTCTGTGCATAAGGATACATTAAATATGTGAGTGAACGGGTGTATAATGACGAACGCACAAATCTTTAACAAACAATCCGGAAATGGCCGAATATTTATTTTTTAGTCTACCGATTATTTTGAGAAGTTTCGGAAATAAACATCGTGCCTGAAATTTTTGGGGAAACGTCTGATGTTGAATTTTGTGGCTGAAGCCCCTTACTGAGATCGGTAGCAATTCTCGAAAAGTATTGGTTAAAGAGGCTAGCCACTGTTGCCGGATCGCTTACATTTTTATCGTTATCTTATAAAACAACATTCTCTAAAAGATTTTTTGTTGATTTGGTCGATTTTTTTTCTATATTCCTCCAATTCCAATTTCAAGTGAATATGGAGAGAAAAAAGTGTGTAATTCTAGAGAAAGAATGACCGTTTCGACTCCGCGCTTTTGCTGTTTCACATATGTGTGCAAATACCGTTTTCATATGAGTGACACCCGCAACTTATTTCAAATTAGATTCTTATTCATGTTAGATTCGCATACAAAGCGATTTATAGAGCAAATGCAGAAGTAGAAGTGAACACAGAATTTGTCTGTCTGACTGACTGATTAGACTGACTGAGAAGTTTTCATTTCTTGAAAATTTAGAGAGAAAAATATGAATATGTTAAGAAAAATCGGGGAAGAATCAAATGTAGTTGTAAAAGATGTTGCGATTGAATTTTCAAAATTAATTTGGATTGATCTGTATTATTGCAATTAGCATATGTGCTAATGCAGCTGTACTATGTGCGTTTTGTAATATTACCAAAAAAGCGTAAAAATGTTGCTGCACTAAAATTTAACAATAAGCAT